AGCCCCACCTTCTTGTCCTGAGCACCCCCTGTGCTGCCTCTTCTTTTTGTGGAGTGAAAGTGGAGCCAGGTTTTGACATCTCTGGGTTCCCTGCACCTGGCACAGGGCAGTTCTCAGTAAATATTTAAAGGAGAAAGTGTTGTGAGGACGAGTTAAACCATGCAGGCACAAGAATTCACAGGGACCCACAGGGCACAGCCAGAGCAAGGGCTACAGTCAGGGGTTTGCAAGTGCAGCATGGTAGCACGGAGCCTGGAAGGTGAAGGTCAGTTCATGCAGGACCTTGAATATCTTAGCACGGAGTTGAAGTCCTACTGCCCTTGGCCCCTTCCGAACTCTCCCGCCTTGTCTGTTCCCTACCCAGCTCCAGTCCGAACTGTTCTCTTTTCCTAGGACCCACCGTGCCGCCAACCTCCCTAGGAACCAGTAAACACGGGGTCGGTCTGTGTCTGTCCTGTTCCTCTCCACATCCCCAATGTCTAAAAGGGCAGTAATGCTTCTGAAGTGAATGAATGAGAGGAAAGTGATTATTACCCCGGATGGGACAGTGAGGGGCCAAGGAAGGTTTGGGCTCTCGCTTTGATTTTGAATCCAGGAAATCCTAGGATCCAAAAGATAATCATTGAACACCTACCAGTCCCCACCTGGGACCGACCGACCAGTCCCACTGCTGGTTCTTTTTTATTTATTTATTTAAATTTTTTTTAATGTTTATTTTTGAGAGAGAGAGATCGACAGAGCACCAGCAGGGGAGGAGCAGAGAGAGAGGGAGACACAGAATCTGAAACAGGCTCCAGGCTCTGAGCTGTCAGCACAGAGTCCCAACTCGGGCCTCAAACTCACAAACTGTGAGATCATGACCTGAGCCGAAGTCGGTCACTCGACTGACTGAGCCACCCAGGCGCCCCGCCCTTGGTTCTTTTTTAAATTGAGGTATTCGTGTAACGTAACCCAATTCCCATGAAAAGCATTCACCATTTTAGTCATTTTCAGGGCACACTTCAGTGGCATTTAGTACATTCAGAATGTTGCGGAAGCACAGCTATCTAGTTGTAAAACACTCTCATCACACCAGAACGGCACCCCATTAAGTAGTCACTCCTCATTTTCCCATCCCACCAGCCTGCAGCAGCCACTAATCTGTTTTCTGTCTCTGTGGATTTGCCTGTTCTGGGTATTCCCACAAATCCCACTTGTGCCAGATTTTTAATAAACTATTTCATTTAAACCTCATAGCTGTACTATGAGATAGATGTTAATTATCCCTTTAACAGATGATGAAAATAAGGCTCTGAGAAGGCAATTTGCGTGAAGCCCTACAGAAGGAGACAGCGTCTGCACATCCATCAGTCATGTAGTCAATGAATATTTATTGAACACCCATCACAGAGCCACAACCAGCCCATACAGCACACATTGCAAAATAGCAGAAGGCAACTTGCTGGATGCCCCCAGTGCATGGAGAGCAGAGAACAGGCCAGATGTCAGCGCCCGCTCCCCAGCCAGGAGCTCTGATGCAGTGAACAACCTTTACAACCTTCCATGGCATCCCTGGCAACCATGTGGTAGGCTCAGTGCTAGCACTGAGGACGAAGTTCCCACCACCATACAGCTTTCATTCTGGTTGGGAAGACAGACAATACCCACATAAAGAAATAAATTAATTCAGATAGTGGTGAGTGCTATGAAAAGTAAAATAGCTTAGGGGCACCTGAGTGGCTCAGTCAGTTAAGCATCCGACTTCGGCTCAGGTCATGATCTCACAGTTTGTGGGTTCAAGCCCGGTGTCAGTCTCTGTGCCAACAGCTCAGAGCCTGGAGCCTGTTTCAGATTCTGTGTCTCCCTCTTTCTCA